AGCAGCAGGAGGTGGCAGGGAGGAGAACCTTACCGTTTTGGTTTGGGTGGCCAAGCCAAACAAGTCAGAACTTTCCGTTTTTGTGCTTTTTCTAATCTTCTTGAACCAGTTTTTGTATTCTTCTCGCACCTGAGGGTTCAAGCACACACAGAGAGAATGAGCTGGAGACCATAAGAACTAAGCCAAACTTCTTGTCATTGAGCGGATGCCCGGCAAGACGACCCAGGGGCAGCCAGTCAGCACGTCGACGGGCAGGTTGACTTACCCTGTGATTGAGAAGGCAATGGACCAGGAAGATGTAGAACCCTTGAAGAACATTGATGATGGTGAAGGAGTAGGCAATCACAGACCTGGCAGGTTCCTGGATACCTTCAATCAGGAAAAACCCAAGACTCCAAGAACAGCCCAGAATCAGGAGTTGAGCAATGGCTTTGAATGTCAGAATCCTGCAGAACCAAGAGGCACGGTGATATCACTCATCTCTACCTGTCTCAATTCCTAAGTCGACTTAATACTTCAGCCCACCTGACCCCTCAGTGCACCTTAACTTCTCAGGCCATCTCAACACCTCAGCACATTTCACATTCCCAGCCTACCTCAACTCTTCAGTTCATCTAAACACCTCAGCTTAACTTGATACCTCAATTAAAGCACAGAAAGCAAGGTGGTGTAGGATAGAAGGATTAATGAAAATGAGAGTTACTGGGAAAGTACAATTACATGATGTTGTTTTGTTGTTATGTGCCGTCAAGTCACTTGCGACTCATAGCGACCCTATGTACAACAGCCCTAAACTCTGCTCTGTCCTGTGCCAATCACACTGTCTCCGACACTCCCATCCCGATTATCCCAGTCACTGAATCAATCCACCTCATAGAGGGCCTTCCCCTCCTGTGCTGTCCCTCCACCCTCCCAAGCATGATGTCCTTCTCCAAGGCCCGGTCTCTCCTCACAACATGTCCAAAGTATGTTAGACGGAGCCTCAGAATCCTTGCCTCCAAGGAGCCACCCAGTTCTATCCTCCTTGGTCATTGTCCAACTCTCTGATGCATAACAAGTGATTGCGAAGACCATGGCCTGTATTAAACGCACCTTAGTCTCCAGGGAGACACCATTGCTCTTCATTACCTATGTATGTACAATTACATGATAGGTATGATAAATAATTTAATAAAACAAAATGTGTGTGAATTATTGACTGGAAAACCAAACTGCTTTGTAAACTTCCCTTCAATTCGCAATTAAAAACAACCAAAATACAACTATTCACAGGCTCTGTAACCTAACAGAAGGCCTCTATGATTTGGAATCAACTCCACAGCAGTGCATTTTTATTTTAATTAGTGAAATCTAATGTGAATTTTTATGTATTTCTGCCACTTTTCATGAGAATGTTGGACAATCTCCTTTTACGTGGTTTATTACCTCTGAGAAACTGCTAGAGGGTCAGCTGTGTGCCAGTTCCCAGTTGATAGCAACAGCAATGACAAGTGGGTAAACAGTTATGCTGCCAACCCAAAGGCAAGCAGTCCGAATCCACCAACTGCTTCTTGAGAGAAAGATGGGCAATGTCCTCCTGTGTAATTTACAGTCTCTGAAAAACTACTGGAGGGTCACCTATGAATAGGTCCCAACTTGATGAAAATTAGTGAGCTGACACATCTCTAGTAATGGTTTATAGATGGCAACACACCACATACTTACAAAGAAATACATATTTGCATGTGATATTATGAGATAAAAATAAAGATATCATCCCTGTCTGATACAAATTGTTAGCTAACATGGTCAGCTGGTAACCTTAAAGTTGGGGGTTTGAATGGAATCAAAGGACTCAAACACCGTAGCCACTTCAAATTCTATGTAGCCAATGGAATGCAGTGCTCAGAAGCAACACTTTTAAAAAATACTACACAACTTGGGAGAGATTGGACAGCATATCCTGCATGAACTAACTCAGTCTTGTAAGGAAAAATACTGCCTAAGACCATTATTGCAAACACAGAAAACTACTACAACACTATGGGGACTTGAGGTAGGAAGGGGTGGGAGGAGAGATATGAGGATAGGTAAGGGTGAATGAAACCACAGTGTTGTACAATTTGGTGGATGGAGGGAGGGGGTGAAGGAAATGGGAAGGATCTGGTGGGAACCCTAAAAAGATAGGGTAATACAAACTTTGTAAGCAAACCCGTATCAAAGAAAACCCCGTGTGGCACAGTTTTACTGTGACTTATCTGGGATCATCAGGGTCAGAGCTAACTTGATAGCAGATGATTATGCTTGTAAGTGGGTCACTGGTAGACATTTTCTCTTACTGGTGTGGACGTTGTTTTAATTTCTGGTCAATAACAAAAGACTTGTACAAAGAAAACTACAGAACATTTCCGCAAGACACAATAAAAAACCTAAATAAATGGAAAAATGTTCCCTGTTCATCGATAGGAAGACTCAATATTATGAAAATGACAGTCCTATCAAAAGCAATCTTTATATTCAGTGCAATCCCAATACAGATACCAAATTCATTTTTCAAAGAGATTGATATGGAAATTGTCAAGTATGTTTGGAGAGAACAGAGACTTCAAATAATAAAGCACTTCTGAAAAACTAAAAATGAAGTGGGAGGCATAGCACTCCCTGACCTCAAAATCTATTATATAACAGTAGTAATCAAAACAGCATGGCACTGGTACAGTGACAAGAACATAGATCAGTGGAACAGAATTGAGAACCCAGAAATGGACTCATCTATCAGTGGTCAGCTGTTATTGAGAAAGGAAATAAACCTATCAAATGGGGAAATGACAACCTTCTCAACAAATAGTGTTGGCAAAACAGGACTTCTACCTGTAGAAAGCTGAAACAGAATCCATATCTCACACCATAAGCAAAAATTAATTCAAGGTGGATCAGAGAGCTGGGAGTAAAGCCTAAAACCAAAAAGTTCATAAGAGACAAACTGGAATCAAGCTTAGAAGGCCTAGTCTATAGTATAAAGAGACTGCCAAATACAACCGGAAATGCACAATCTGAAGAAGATAAAATTGATGAATGGGACCTTTTAAAGATTAAATTCCTGTGTGCATCAAAAGCATTTTCCAACAAAGTGAAAAGAAAACCTACTGACTGGGGGGAAAAACATTTGGCAATACCATTTCAGACAAGGGTCTCTCATAAAAAGTTTATAGAATCCTAAAGGGCATCCATGAGAAAAAGACTGATAACCCAATTACAAAATGTGTAAAAGATATGGAAAGACTTTTCGTACAGGAAGACATTCAGATGGCAAACAGACACATGAAGAAATGTTCAAAATCACTAGCAATAAGAGAGATGCAAATCAAAAGCACAATGACATACCATCTTACAGCAGTTGTTGATTGCCTTCGGGTAGAGCATGACTCATAGTGACCCAATGAACAAAAGGCCTCAAGCCCCTCTACAACTATCGACATTTATAAAAGTTCATAATTTCCGGAGGCATGTTATTAGGAAGATGATACCACACTCGTGCTTTTACCAGTAGCAGTAGCAAAGTTTAGTAGGGCAGCAATTAACAAATGTTGGAGAGGATGTGGAGAGATAGGAACTCCCATACACTGCTGGTGGGTTTATAAAATGGTACAACCACTCTGGAAGGTAGTTTGTTGTTTCTTCAAAAGGCTGAACATAGAAATTCCACATAACCCAGCTATTCCACTGCTTGGAATATACCCTGAGAAAATGAGAACTGAGGCACAAATGGAAATTTGTACACCAATGTTTATAGCAGTGTTATTCACCATTGAAAGAACATGAAAACAGCCCAAATGTCCAACCATAAGTGAATGGATTGAGATATTATTATATATTCACACAATGGAATATTACACAGCATACAAGAACAATGATTTTGTAATTCATTACCTAACTTGGGAGGGACTGGAGAGTATTATGTTAAATGAACTAACTCAGTACCATAAGGACAAATACTGTGTAAGACCATTATTTTAGACACAGATAAATTAATAAAATTTAATTTAAAAAAGAAAGAAAAAAGAGAGATAGAGCAGAGATTAACGGATGGATGGGTAGAAGGAAGGGAAAGTAAGGCTTCTGTAAAATGTTGTAAATAATGGCAATGTGGAATTGTAACTATTGTTATAAAACAAAATGTTTATGAGTGATTGAACAAAAAGCAATAAAAACAGGAACCTCTAAGTAAAAATAAAAAGGCCCAGAAAACAAAACAATGTGTATGAGAAACCAAGGGAGGAAAGGTAGGAGTAGAAAGGTGAGGATGGGTATGGGGATAAACACAATTTGATGGATGGAGGGAAGGGTGGGTAAAGGAAATGGGAAAGAGCTGGTGTGAAAAAACAATGCATACGAACGTTTTAAGTAAACAAATATAAAATAAAAAATTTATAAAAAAAGAAGACAAAAACTTGAGAATAATAAAACCAAACCACAAACCTTATACATAGACCAAGAAGCTGTTGTACAAATGGAGCTGGGGAACAATGCATGGCTTAAAATCAGGAAAGGTGTGTGTCGGGGTTGTAGGCTTTCTCTATATTTATTCAATATGTATGTTGAACAAATCATACAAGAAGCTGGATTCTATGAAGAAGAAGTGCCGTCAAAATTGGAGGAAGACTCATGACTGACCCGCATTACGCAGATGACATAATGTGGTTTGAGAGTGAGGAGAACTTGAAGTGGTTGCTACCAAAGATCAAAGATTATAACCTTCAATATGGATTGCATCTCAACATCAAGAAGACAAAAATCCTTATCACAAAACCAACAGGCCACATCAAGATAGACATAGAAAAGATTGACATTGTCTGTGATTTCATCTTGGATCCACAATCAACACCCTTGGTACCAGAAGCCAGGAGATTAGCAGACATATTTGAACTGTGGTGCTGGAGAGAACTGACTATCCCATAGACTGCCAAAAGAACAGACGGGTCTTGAAAAAAGTGCAGCCAAAGTGCTCCTTGCAGGCGAGGATGGCAAACCGTTGTCTCACATACTTTTGGGCAAGTTGCTAGGAAAGACTAGTCCTTGGAAAAAGACACCATGCTTGAAGAAGTGGAAGGTCATGGAAAGAAAGGAAGAGGCCCAATGAGATGATTTGACACAGGGTTTGCAGCAATAGGCTCAAGTGTGTCAGAGGTGATGAGAATGCCACAGGATAGGACAGGGTTCAGATCTGCTGTTCGTAGGATTGCTGTGACTTGTACTTGACTCAACAGCATCTAACAACAATAACAGCAGCCCCTCCTGATCACACACCCGAAGTATGTGAGAGAAAATCTCATCATCCTGGCCTCTGAGGAGCATTCTTATTGCACTTCCTCCTAGGCGGTCCAGTGTTCTTCTCCAACACCAGCCAACAGAGTGGTGTTTTTCCAAACAAAGTGCCTTTGTGTTCTAGGAGACATTTTACCATGTTTAGTAACCATGTTTAGTAAAAAATGTTTACCATTTTTTTTAGTTGTCAACATTGGTTAAGGGTGCGACTAACATAGTAAGTGGAAACAAGGAATTGCTGTTAAATATCTTATAACTCGTAGGATATCTGTCCCACTCTCACCCCAACTCTACCACACAAAGAATTGTCCAGGCCAAAATGTTAGGAATGCTGAAGTTGAAAACTGATATAGAGAGATCTTGAAACAATCCTAGACTGCTAAAAAGCATGTATGTTGTTGTTGTTGTTGGTATGTGCCTTTGAGTCTCCTGTACAACAGCCCGAAATAAACCCTGCTCTATCCCTTGCTAATCTTATTGTCTCTGACACACCTATCCTCATTACTTCAGTGACTGAATCAACCCATCTCATCGAGGGTCCAACTCTTAAAAACCTCCAAAGGCTGCAGGTCTCTAACTTCCCAGGGTAATTCAGTGTCATATTTGCAATATACCTCCCAGAGCTTTGCTATTGTTAACTACTCTCTAGTAGAGGTTTGATAGGCTGATATGTGGAAGTAGATTGCTAGTCTTTTCCAGTACATTTCAGTTAGAAAGCTCTGCTGGAACAAGTTCAGCATAATAACAATACAAAAAGCGCCACTGGCTGACCGAGTGTGAGATTCATTGGCAAGAAATGGAAAGCACTATTTTGGCAATGAAGGCTAGAATTCTACCATGGAACCACAACTGTCTCTTTCTCCCAGTTACTCCATTCAAGAAATAAAGAAAAATCACCTGAAGTAAAAAAAAAATCCTGGTCAATAATATACTTCATGTGCAACCATCACCTGCCTTTCAGGTTTCAGCAGAACTTCCAGACTACAATGGATTAGGAAGAATCTCTACTGATCTACTTCTGAAAATCAGCCAATGAAAATGAGTCACAATAGTCCAAGCTGCTGCTGTTCATGGGGATATTATAGACTGGGTGTTTTCTTTCACTGTGCACCCAGTGGCCATGAGTCAGGTGACCACCAGATGACAGCTAACAACAACATTATAAATAAATAGCCCATGTTCCAGTGCTTGTTCACGCTGACAAAGGATATTGAATACAGGATATGATAGGCAACACCATGATCAATGGAGAAAACATTGAAGTTGTCAAGTATTACATTTTTTCATGGATCTAAAATCAACATATATGAAAGAAGCAGTGCAGAAATCAAGTGATGTGCTGTATGGTGAAAATCTACTGCCAAGGACCTTTTTAAAGTGCTAAAGAGCAAAAATGTTAAAGCCTGAAGTACACCTGATTCAAGCTGGACCTGAGTCAAGCTGTTGCCCTGAGTCAAGCTGTAGCCCTGAGTCAAGCTGTCCCCCTGAGTCAAGCTGTCCCCCTGAGTCAAGCTGTATCTGACTCCAGCTGTCCCCCTGAGTCAAGCTGTACCCTGAGTCAAGCTGTACCCTGAGTCAAGCTGTACCCCTGAGTCAAGCTGTACCCCTGAATCAAGCTGTACCCGAGTAAAGCTGTGCCCCTGAGTCAAGCTGTATCTGACTCCAGCTGTCCCCCTGAGTCAAGCTGTACCTGATTCCAGCTATACCCCTGAGTCAAGCTGTACCCCTGAGTCAAGCTGTACCCCTGAGTCAAGCTGTACCCCGAGTCAAGCTGTCCCTGAGTCAAGCTGTCCCCCTGAGTGAAGCTGTCCCCCTGAGTCAGGCTGCACCTGACTCAAGCTGTACCTGACTCAAGCTGTACCTGACTCAAGCTGTGACATCTTCAATTGTTTCAGATGCACGTGAAAGTTAGACACTGAATAAGGAAGACCAGAGAAGAATAGGAGTCTTTGAATTACGTTGGCAAAGAATATTGAACATACCAGGGACTGCCGAAAAGAACAAACAAATCTGCCTTGGCAGAAGTGTAAGGATGGTGAGACTTCAGGGTTTTGGACATGTTATCAGAAAAGGTCAGATCTTAGAAAAGGACATCATGCTTAAAAAGGTGATCAGTCTACAAAACAGAAGACCCTCAACATTGGCAGAATGACTCAATAATGGACTGAAAGCACAGCAGAGACTTGAGGACAGTCCAGACTCGGGTAAGGTTTCTGCTTGTTATATGTGTGGTCTCTGTGAACTGGATGCCACACACCACCACCGCCAAGAAACAAGAAGGAGCAAAACTATCTCAAAAGAAGGGGTAGCCAAAACGCTTCTTAGAAGCAAAAAGGGGGAGACCTCATCTCACACACTTTGGACGTTATCAGAGGAGAAAAATACCCGGAGAAAGATAATCATGCTTGAGAAAGCAGAGTGTCAACAAAAAAGAGAAAGTCTCAACAAAAGGATTGATACAACAGCTGCAACCAAGTTTAAACACAGCAGAGATTGTGAGGATGGTGAAGGATCAGACAGTGTTGGATTCTGTTTTGCATTAGGTCACATTAATAGACAGCACTGGACAATTACAACTGATGGCAGTAAAAACAAAGAAAGAAACAAACCCCCCAAATGCATAATCCAGTTACTGTGGAGTTGACTGTGGCTTATGATGACTCAATAATGTTAGTCCACTATGTTGTCCACTAACCTCTAGGTGGTCTTCACCCCCCACCCCTGGCTGTGTACCATAAATTGGATCTGACTGGCACAGGAGGAGATTTCCCCTCCTTCTCCAGGACAGCATCTGGTGGATGAGAACCGCACACCTTTGTGATTGCAATGCAGCTTCTTGCCACTAGGCCACCAGAACTTACTTCTCTATGTGGTCTTGAACCTCTCACCTTTCAACTAGCAACTGAGTTCACTCACCATGTGAGCTCCCCAGAACCTCCACAAAACAGTTGTACAATCCACACATTGCCAACCACAAATGCCTCCAAACATTGCCAAATGTCCCCCGGGACTGAGAGGAGGATCATTCCCAACTGAAAGACACTATTCTAACTGCAGGCAACACAAGAATTCTGCGTTACTCTCCCCTGCGAGTTTCCAGCTCCCCGGCCACTTACCTCGTGTTTTGAATTCTGGATACCTCGTTGTTGAGAGAGCTGAGCTGGTCCCTTAAAATCCACAGGGTTGTCAGGTAAAAGGACAAGTTGATCTGTGGAAGCAACATGCTGAGTGAACCTTAAAATAGACTAATTTCTAATATTCATAGAAACATATGGATTTAAGATTTTGAAAACTTACTAAAGGAACTTTTTGTTTTATTTTTGAAAATGACTTCTCTTTTTTTTCTGATTAGAGAAGCATTGCATGATCAGTTGAAAAACAGAGGAAAATAGACAGGAGGAAACAAAAGTCTTTTGTACAGGCACATCTTGTATTATTTTGTTTTTGTTTTTCTTTTTATCATGCTCCGCAGACGTTGGTTTTTCATAAAAATTGAAGGTTTGTGGTAAACTTGCATCAGGCAACTCTATCAACATCCGTGTCCCTTTCCCAACAGCATGTGCTGGTTGTGTCTATATGTCACATTTTGGCAAGTCCCACAATATTTTAAACTTTTTCATAAAGCTACTGCACATTTAACTGACCATCCAAGCCCAACTCAACCCATGGCCATCATGACTGACCCTCCAAGACCACTGGTCTTTATAGGAGAAGACTATCTGTCTCTCTTCCTCTCTTCTATGGAGTGCTTGTTGGATTTGAACTCTTAATCTAATTTAATTTGGCAAATAAAAAATGTATTGCGATGGGAAAGCCTGTGGTTAGAGACCTCTCTAAAGTACAGAAGAGCAATGATGTCAGTCTGGAGACTAAGGTGCCACTGATACATGCCATGGTCTTTGCAATCACTTGCTATGCATCAGAGAGCTGGACAATGACTAGGGAGGACAGAAGGAGAATTGATGCCTTTGAGCGGTAGTGTTGGAGAAGAATATTGAATATACCATGGACTGCTGGGAAAACAAACACGTTTGTCCTGGAGAGGGTGAAGCCAGGCTGCTCTTTGGAGGCAAGGATTCTGAAACTTCATCTGACATACTTTGGACATGTTGCAAGAAGGGATCAGTCCTTGGAGAGGGACATTGTTTTTGAGAGGGTGGAGGGACAGTGTAAGAGAGGAAGACCCTCAATGAGATGGATTGATTCAGTGACTGGGGAAATGGGGTTAGGTGTGTCAGAGACAGTGAGATTAGCACAGGATAGGGCAGGGTTTAGGGCTCTTGTACATAGGGTCACTATGAGTTGCAGGCAACTCAATGGCACACAACAACAACACACAATACCACCAGGGTTCCTTTACTAGAGTATAATACAGTGTAAAAAAAACTCCGACTTATAAGCACTGAGATGCAAACAAGTCACATGACTCATTTTATGGCCGTATTTGCTTTGCTGTGAGATTTAATATGTTACCATGGTTTGGAACCAAAGCCGTGATATAGCTGAGGTATGTCTGCAATCCTATTACACACAGGCAACTGCTATTGCCTTCTTGATGTTTGGAGCACTTCCTCCATGGCTGCTGCTTCATGCCATGATTTTAAAATCATGCACTGACTATTTTGTATTGCCGTAAAATTCCCAGATTGAAGACCAAATTCTGTCCTCCAAACACATTTTGTCAAATCATCAATGAATGTAAGATCTGAGGTCTAGTGCTGGTTTTAATATTACTGCATGGTTATATGTTACTTGCTGTTGTTGTTATGTGCCATCGAGTTGCCCACAACTCATAGCAACTCTATGTACAATAGCTCTGAAACTTGTCCTGTCCTAAGTCAGTTTCATTGACTCCAACATACCTTCCCATTGCCCCAGGTACCATGTCAATCCATCCCATCTGAGATCTTTCTCTCCTGAGCTGTCTCTCCACCCTTCCGAGCATGATATCCTTCTCCAAGGACTGCTCACTCTTGGCCACATGTCCAAAGTACATGAGATGGAGCTTCAAAATCCTAGCCTTCAAGGAGAAACTTGGTTTCACCCTCTCCAAGACAGACATACTTGTTTTCTTGGTGGTCCATGGTATGTTCAAGACTCTTCTCAACCACCACAATTCAAAGGCATCGATTCTTCTGTCTTTCCTAGTCATTGTTCAGCTCCCTGATGAATAGCAAGCTATTGCAAAGATCATGGCCTGGGTCAGGCACACTTTAGTCGTATTAAATAGGGAGCTTATTTATATTAAATAGGAAGCTTTGGTGGTATAGTAGATAAAGAGAATTGTGCTGCCAACCCAAAGGCAAGCAGTTCAAATTCACCAGCTGCTCTCTCGCTCTCTCTCTCTCTCTTTCTTTCTTTCTTTCTCGGAGAAAGGTGGAATTTAGTGCAATTTAGAGCCTCTGGAAACCCACTCTCAGATCAGTTATGAGTTGATTCCAACTTGACAGTACAGAGTAGAATTTCCCCATAGTATTTTCTTGGCTGTTGTGTTAATGGGAGCAGATTTCTAGGATCCTGGGGAGTTGCTGTGTGGGTTTTAAACTATCAAGTTTTTTTATTAATAGTCAATTGCATAATGATTATACCCCTAGTACATATTTGCTTAAGGTTCTGAAAAGGACATCATCCTTTTAGAGTTGGAGGACCAGTGAAGGAGAGGAGATTGCAATGAAACAGTGACGGCGACAATGGGCACATGCACCTTGGAGATTGTGAGCATGGTGGAGGATCGAGCAGAGTTTTGACCTTTTGTTCATAAAGTCACTAAAGATCAGAGCTAATGTGATGACATCTTCAGTATGAATTGAAGCTCAACATCTCACCACTGGGCCTTTGAAGCACCAGGATAGATGAAGAAGAGATTGAGATTAGCGACAAATTTAGCTTGCTTGGGTCCACAATTAGCACTCTGGGAGTCAGCAGCCAAGAATCAAAAGATGATTTGGGCTAGGAAAGTCTGCCATCAGGAACTGTTCGAGAGTGCTGAAGTGCAGAGATGTCAGTCTAGAGACTAAGGTGTGCCTCAGCCAGGTGACGGTCTTCACAATTACTATGCATCAGAGAGCTGAACAATATGACTAAGCAAGACAGAAGAAGAGTTGATGTCTTTGAGTTGTGGTCCTGGAAAAGAGTACTGAACATACTCTTGAACTACCAGAGTATACAAACAGATCTATCCTGGGGAGGGTGCTCTCCAAGTTGCTCTCTGGAGGCAAGGATTTTGTAGCTCTGTCTCACATACTTTGGAAATGCTGCCTGGAGGGACTAGTCCTTGGAGAAGGAGATGCTTGGGTAAGTGGAGGGACAATGCCGGAGAAAAAGACCCTGCATGAGATGGATTGACACAGGGGCAGGCGTGTCAGAGACAGTGAGATTAGATCAGGATAGGACAGAGTTCAGAGCTACTGTGCATACAGAGTCACTGTGAGTCTCAGGTGACTTGACAACACATAACAACAGCAGCCAGTGGTACAAGTGGTTTGCTCTTAAGCATAACCTAAATGTTGGTAGTTCAAACCTGCTACAGAGGAAAGCCTTAATTATATACTGTTGTAAAGATTATAGCCAAGAAACCACCCCTAAGGCAGCTCTACGCTGCAGCCAATGTAGTGGCCATGAGTCAGAATCAATTTGGTAGCGACAGATTTTGTTTTTATATCTTCAGTAGAGACACTTTGGTGGGTGGAGAACAGGATACTTGGGACTAGTAGTAGAAATGCAAATAAAAAGAAATGTTTTAAAAGGGTAATAAAAGACCCTTTAATTTTGTGTAACCTCTCAGTTGCATCTCATAAATGTAATTCCTTCTGCAAACAAAATTTACTGCCTTGCCAATGGCTATGACTCTGGCTCCCTCTCCCATCCTGAGCCTAGAATGGAACTGTTCTCCCTGGGGATTTCAGTGATGTAGATCACCAGGCCTTTCATCCTTGCAGCTGGCTGTTTTAACCATTTGCACCGTTGAAGGAGTCTCCACAGATAAAAGGGTCTATATCTTCTTGGCATGCTCCATTTTGATTCTAAGAATACAAAAGGAAGTTTAACCAGCTCTTTAAATTATTAAGTGAAAACGATTTGTGAATTCAAGTCTATGTGAATTCAATGATTTGGGAATTCAAGTCTATCCAACAGAACCATAAAGAAGGCCTTTTAATCTTGTAATCTGCCTTCATAAAGATCACAGCCAAGAAAACTCTGGGGCATTCCATTCACTCTGTTGCTTGTGGGGTTACCAGGAGTTAGAATTGACTTAATGTCAATATGTTTAGAATTTATCAAGCTACTTCATTATCACATCAATAACATATATTTCTAATATCTGAATTGAAGGGGAAAAAATTATAAACCCACCAGAGTGATAACAGAAATGGGTCCCACGAAGCTCCAGATAAAACCTTTTTTAAGGTTAAACCAGCAGCTGAAAAACAGAATAAATAATGTCTCATATTTTCATATTCAAAAACAAATTCATAAAATTAAATAAGCACTTTTTCTTCCTAAGCTGTAACACAGGAAGACCAATCTGCACAGGAATTAAATGCAGGATACACAGACTGTAACCATCACATGAACAGCAACAACAACAAAGATTTAAAATTTGACGTTCATAGGGTTTTGGACAGGACAAAGATTTATTAACACTCTGCATTATGCATGTGGCACAACCTTGCTTGAAGAAAGTAAAAAGGCTTAAAGCACTTATTGCAGAAGATCAAAGACTATCGCCTTTATTATGGATAATATCTCAATATCAAGAAAACAAAAATCCTTGTTACTGGACCAACAGACACTATGGTGACAGATAGAGAAAAAAGTGAAGAAGTCAATCATTTAATTTTGCTTGAATCTGCAATCAACACTCCTGGTAGTCGTAGTCAAGTAATCAAAAGATGCATTTCATTGGGCAAAATTGCTGTCAAAGACATCTTCAAAATACTAAAGCTATCAAAGAAGTAGTTTAGAGACCTGATTCAAGTCTTGGTATTTACACTTGCTTTCTATGCACCTGAAAGTTTGACAATGAATAAGGAAGACTGAAGAAGGATCGATGCCTTCAAATTGTGCAGGTGAAGAATATTGAATAATAATACTGAATGCCCATGGACTACCAAAAGAACAAATTAATCTGTCTTGGAGGAAATGCACCCAGGATATTTCTAGAAGTCAGGGATGGTAACTGTTTAAAAGGGATATATGATTGGGTATTATTGTCATGACATGAATCCAGAATGAAGGCTGCACAGTGGAGTAGACTTGGGGGAGGGATTGCATAACAAT